CTGTTTCCATTTTACACCCATCTTTAAGGCACTTAATTCTTAGTGCCTATTCGGGCCTCTTTTCTTTTCCCCTCAATTAATAAACCCACCCCTGAGAAGCAGGCCTGTGCATCGCTGCTTGGCCCAGGGTGCAGGTGGGGCCCAGGAAACGGCCCCATGGAGCCGCGGGCCTGGGTCCTGTCCTCGCCCTGATGCAGGCGATGCTCGATGGGGCCGCTGGCCGCGGTGCACCTGCACTCCCGCACAACAGCCTCTCCAACTCACGCTCTGACAGGCTGCCGCTCACACTGCAAGCAAGGTGCTTGCCTGAGCCGGCTGCCCCGCAGGGCTTCGAGGAGGGACGCTCCTGTCTCCCCTTGTGCTCTGCTTCCTAACGGTCGTGATTTATTTCCGAGAATGACAGCTCTCATGTATGGAATCTCAAAAACGTAAAGGGCTCTCCCAGCCTCTCCGGATCCCCAGGGAGCGCCTGTAGGTCCTGCCCGGGGCTCGGGCTCGGCAGGAAAGGGCTGCCAGGGGAACCCAGCATCCACAGGAGGCCTGGAGCCGCCGACCCAGGTGCAGCCAAGTTCATCATCTCAGACGCGGAGCTCCCCCCCAGCAACAGGGAGCGAGAAGGCAAGGAACACAGCGGCAGATGCAAACACGGCCTTCAGTGCCGGCCTGGTCCTGCTCCAGGCTGAGAAGGAAAGGCGCGGGGGGGGGGGGGGGGGGGGGGGGACTGTCTTCAAAGGTAAAACTTCCAAGCTATTAAAGTTATACAGAAGTCTGAGATCCATCACTGAGAATCTTTAAAAAGAAAAAAGTCGGTGATGCAACCCTAATTCGAAGGAGCCTTGGAAATGCCAGTGCCCTTCGCCCCAGGCCCACAGAAATGGCTGTGCTGGGATCACCACCAAGAGGTCCTTCGACAACTGCACTGTGGTCTCCAGCTCTTTATCACCACAATCTCCTTTCTAACAGATACATTCGAAAAGCTTGACTGATTCCTCTTTTCTGCCGTTAGCCTCTGCAACGGACGCCATCGCCCCCACGGGACGTTTGATTTACTCGGCCGAACACCTTTAGCACTCAGCATGCCTTCCGGCACCTTCCGGCTCAGCAGCACATGCTGCCGGGGCCGTGCCCACACCCTTCCTGCCCCAGCACGAAGGAGGAAAAGGCACCCCTGGATTCCCACCCCGCTCCCCTGCCAGGCTGCCTGCCGGGACCTGCGGGCCGCGAGAACCGGGCCCACCGTGCAGCCTGCTCCGCGCAGGGAGGTGGTGCCCACTGGGCGGCTCAGCTCCAGGGACAAGCGTCCACAGGGCAGGGAACAGCGTCTCCGTGCGACACGCTCGGCTCGACCACATCTGTAGACGCGCACGTTTCTCTCGAGGCCCTCCGCCCCCACGACAGAATGCAGCAGCGTGTTGGTGCCGCACGCCCGGCACACCTGCCTCCGGATCCCTGAACGCCCCACCCCTGCGCGTCCGCGGGGCTCCGGTCGCACAGAATAGCAGCGGAGGTGGTTTGCGGAAATGCTGGCATGATCAAAACACATCTCGCAACTGACCCGCCAGGAAAGATGAAAGTCTGTGTGCCTTGGTGTTTTCGTGTATAAAATTTACCCCAAGTTCGGTAAAAAAAAACAAAAACAAAAACAAAAACAAAAACACCCAAGCACCATAAAAGCCCGTGGAGTATACGGCATGATTCCGTCTGTGGAAAGGCTTACTACGCCGATTTTTCAGGGGACAGGGCGACGCCTGGGCCTGGCCTCTCCTGACAGTCTAGGGACAAGACGACACAAGGCCGGGCTGAGAACCCTGAGCAGGACCGTGAGCTGACCGGACGCCCCGGCCCAGGACCAACAAGGACAAAGGGCCTGATGGTGGCTGTGCAGCCACCATTACTTTTATCAGCGGCCTCAACAAAGAAATGGGACGAACGTGTTTATGATATCTAAGTCTGCCACTCAGCTAGGAAAGAGCCAAAATCTTCAACAAAAGAACAAAGATGCAAAAGTTCTCCACAAGATGGAAAAGCTGAAAACTAACAACATACAATCCCATGAGGAAGAACAGAAAGCACAGAAGTGAAAGGTCTGGCTTAAGAGCTGTGCTGTGAAAAAGACGCCAGGGTCCTAGGGGACCACAAGCTCAGTGTGTCAGATCAAGGACAGCATCCTCAGGCCCAGCCTGGGAAGCAAGGACACAGGGGAGCACACATCTAGAAGAGCCCAGCCCCAGCTCGGAGCCAATGCTAAGAGGAACCAGATGAAGGGAGCGCGTCCGAAACAGGCCTATAGGGGGAGGTTTCTGGAAACCAAGCAATGTGAGGAAGGACTGCAGGCTCTTGGACTGTTCTACCTAGAATCGAGGGCTGAGGCTGTACCGCCACAAACTCTGACATTCACTCAGTACGGAATGAGCAAGGCAATGATTTGTTCATCAAGGGCAGCGTTCTGTCTGCATGCTGGAATCATCTGGAACAACATGAACCATCACTGGTAAGAAATTCCCAAGGCCAGTGCTCAGACCTAGAGCCGGCTTTTCAGGGGCGGAGCCCACACCATCACCTTTTCTACAAAGGCCTCTAGGTGATTCAAACGTGGCCCCGACTGAGGACAAACACCCGGGGGTCACCGAGGACCTGGCCACAGAGGAGGCCGGCAGGGAGAAAGCTTAGTGGGAGGAGCAGCCACGGCTCCCGGGGTGATGCGAGCAGAGCCCCAAGTCAGCTCCTGGGAACTGCGTGGCCGCCCAGCCCACCGGGCCTCCACCTCTGAGCTCAAAAAAGGGACCCAGTGACAGGTGACGGAAATGAGCCGCTGAGTCCTGTGCTTCCTCAGTGTCCTCATTTCCATGCAATTCCCCTTTCTGCACAGGTATGCCTATGATGTAATGCTTTGTCACTGTGTAATTTATAACTAAAAATCGCACATTACCGGGGCACCTGGGTGGGCTCGGTTGGTTGGGCGCCTGACCCCTGACTTGAGCTCAGGTCGTGATCTCACAGTTGTGGGTTCGAGCCCTCTGTCGGGCTCTGTGCTGACAGCACGGAGCCTGCTTGGGCTTCTTCTCTCTCCCTCTGCCACTCCCCCGCTCATTCTCTCTCTCTGTCTCTCTCTCTCTCTCTCTCTGTCTCTCCCCCTCTCTCTCTCTCCCTAGCACATTACTCTATCACCCAGGGGCTACCGTGCATCACTCAGTAGCGGCGGGGTGCTCAGGGGGGACGGGGTTTCTTGGTTGGGGGCTCTGCATTCTTACGGGAGCCGGGTCTCTGGTCCCCAGTCCTCATGCAGAGCTCACTCGTGATGCAGGCCACCTCGGGTCGCTGTGTTCCCCACGTGACTCTGCCTGTTTACGCTGCTTTTTGTTAAGTTTATTTATTTATTTTGAAAGAGAGAGAAAGAGAGAAAGAGTGCATGCACGCACGTGCACTGGAGTGGACGAGGGGCAGGAGGCGAGGGAGCGAGGGAGAGAGAATCCCAAGCAGGCTCTGCACTCTCAGCACAGAGCCTGACACGGGGCTCAAACTCATGAACCATGAGATCATGAACTGAAGTCAAGAGCTGGACGCTTAGCTGACCGAGCCACCCGGCGCCCCCGACCCCGTCCTACGTCCATTACTTTCCTATCTTCCCACTCTTTGGGTTCAAACAAACAACACAACAGAAGCTCCTCACGCAGCACAAGACGAGGAACACAGTTCCTGACGGCGGGCGCCCCCTGGACCCCCTCAGCACACCGTTCAGAGTGAGGCAGCAGCCTGCCGTGCGCTGAGCGCCATCGGACCGCCTCTTACGGACTGACTCGCCCCCGTTATCAACGGACTTGTGACCAGTCCCCCCAGTGAGCCAGGCTGTGCGAACAGAGGACTCATTCGGGCACCGAGGTGAGCACGTCTTACAGGACCGCAGCATCTGGAAACGTCTGCGACAGGGGCGCAGGAGCGGCAGGGCGGCTGGTCCGTCCACACGCGCTGTCGCTGCCCCACATCTGCAGCCTTCCCCACAGGGCCACGTCGCCGGTGGCCGGGGCCCGCGCCCCACTGCCCGCCAGCCAGGCTACCCTCGCGAACGGCACGGGGGTCCGCGGAGCAGCTGGCAGGACAGGGAGACCGTGCGTGATCCCGGGCCAGCACCACCCAGCCTGGTCTCAGGGCGGCGGCCCTCGGGGCGTGGCCCCGAGCTTCTGAGAGCCTGGCCTGCCGGAGGGATGACTCACGTGTCCGTCGTCACCTGCCCGGCCCCAGCCCACGGGCCGGCCACCCACCCGGATGCGTGGGTGCAGTGCTGTGGCCGGAGGGCCCGTGCTGAGCCCTCTGCGCTGGTGACCTGCCTGGCCGGCGTGTCACGGGAGGCCAGTGCTGCTGCAGACGGGGAAGCCGAGGCAGGGAGCGGCTGGGGGCCGGCCCGGACCCCAGCCCGTGCTGTGGCGCCCTGACGGTCCCTCCGTGCCCACAGCTCAGAGGCCTGACTCCGGGGCTGCGGGCACGGACGGCAAAGCTGGCAGGTGGGCCCGGCCTTCGGCCCACACAATGCAACCATGTGGCCAGGGGCCTCGTGGCAGAGAAGAAGCAGGGGCTGGGCTTCGCACGTGAGGACCGTGGCAAGTGTGGCCCCCGGGGCGCGGACAGCGCCAAGTGCGGAGAGCTGTTCTCTGAGGGTCGCGACAGGCAGCCCTCCTCCACCCCCGACCGCGGCGTTCCGGGCCGAGGGCCTGTCGGCTAGCGAGCATACGGGGCGCTCTGGAACATTCCTCAGGGGCCAGGATTCCGGGGGCCCAGGTAAGGGCAGCGGCGGCCACACGTCGGCCACGCCAGCGTCGCCCGGCGACCCTTTCCCTTTGCCGGGCGGCTTCCAGACCCGCGGGCCCCAAGTTGAGAGGAAGGAAGATGGAGGGGACTCCCGCAGGTGGCCGGGCGGCCAGATAAAGGCAGACAGGAAGGCGACAGCATGTCCGCTCTGGCCTGGGCCCTGGGGCACAGAGCCCGAAGGCCCAGGGCGCAGGATGTCACAGGGGACAAGCACACAGACGGGGCCCCAGGGCGCAGCACAGCCGGACGCAGAGGAAGGCCGGGGACGCTGAAGACGCAGGGCAGTGGCCCTTCCCCCAGTCACCGCCCAGCTCTCCGCCTTCAGCGGCGAACGAGTGGCTGAGCCGCCACCAGAACCAGTCCCATCCCAACGCGGAGTTGGCGGAGGCCTCAGACAGGACCCGTGTGCTGCACAGAAGACCTGTGGCCAGGCTCGGGTTGGCCCTTTGCTCCTTGACCCCACGAGACCGAGGAGCAGAGGGCGAGGAGCACCAGGCTCCAGTGTGCAGGCTCTGGGGCAACACGGCTCCAGGCACATGGGCGTCTCCAACCAGGAACCGGCACAGGGAGACCCCGCGGGTCCCTGAGCGGAGGGCGAGTGGGGCCAGGCGAGCAGGGGGAGCGCCAGGCCACGCCCGGCCTAGGTCCAGCCGCCACGCTTTGCCCCAGGCAGAACCACGACCCGGGGGGAGGGACCCCGTATTCCAGGACCGTATGTCCCAAGCTCCCGCCCCGCCTTCCCTTTCAATTCCTCTGCTCTAACTACACGTGCAGACCCGCTCACGTAATGGCAGGAATGCTTTGCAAGTTATGGAACAAGGTCACTGAGACGGTCTGCAAAATGCCGTGTTAGGGACACACGTGCGACCACGAGGAAGGGGCTCAGCCTAACCCAGCACGAGCACTGACCAGCGGGGCGGGCCTCCGTGCGCCAACCACACCACCCCTCAGGGCTCTGTGCTTGCCGTTTGCTCCGAAACACGGCGCCCAGGGAGTCACCAGGCTCCGCTCCCTCGCCAGGAGCACCTCCCAGACCACCCTGCATAAAACATCAGCGCCCCCACACCCCATTCCCACTACCCTGCTGTGCCACCCCGGCATTTCTCCTCCCTGCTGTCGTACGTGGGTGTGCGTGTGTGTGCGTGTGTGTGTTTCCTCTTTGCCTCTCCCGGAAAGGACCTGAGCTGCCAAAAGAGAAACCGCGTTTTATTCCAACGCTGTTATTGCTGGCATCTACCACACCTGGCATGAGGCAGATGTCCCATGAATGCAGAACGAATGAACGAACGAATGAACGAACGAGTGAAACAGGTCATTCAGGAGCGCCTCAGTGGCTCAGCCAGTTGAGCATCCAACCCTAGATCTCAGCCCAGGTCTTGATCTCAGAGTCGTGAGTTCAAAGCCCGCGTGGGGCTCCAGGCTGGGTGTGGGGCCTACGTAAAGAAATAAAACAAGTCCCTTCATGTCCAAGACTCATACGTACAGAGACGGCACATAGGAAAGGACCTGCAAAGCAGGCAGTGGAGTATGAATCAGTTAATTCAGCACATACTTCTCCAGGGCCCACAGAGATGAGAAGTAACGCACGTGTGGGCAGTCACAGGACCTCAAAGTCCCAGCAACATACAGCAAAACTACTAACCCAGGGGGGCGCCTGGGTAGCTCAGTCGGCTGGGCGTCCGACTTCAGCTCGGGTCATGATCTCGCGGTCCGTGA